CTCAAGCTGCATCACCGTCAAACTCTCACTAAAGCTGTTAACACTTACAGTCGGGACTCTTGCTTTAAGTTTTCTTTAAAAAAACAAAAGTTTTTTTTACAACTTAAGTAAAATTAGAAATACAATCACTGTATATGCTATTTTCAGAATTACTCAGGGTCAACAACTCAGGAACTGAGTGATTTTTTTTCAACTTCCACTGGAAACTTCCTAGACAAAAAGAGCCCCACTCTTAAAAAATTACAATCTTTTAGTCAAAACAAGGAGTTAACATAACTAAAAGCACAAAATTAAGAAGACTGTGACAAGGAAGCACATTTGTGTATTTCTATTTACTCAATGAGTCAATCAAATCCAGTTATAAGTTAAAACTTGATTTGTTTGCCAGTAGTATTCAGGCTAAACCCTGGCATGCGTAGTCAAATTTCCACTCTTAACCCCATTCTGGCCTTTCCTCACTCTACAGTAAAGTATGACTAAGAAAAAAAATCTACTCCTGTATCTGCTATATATATCAGCACAGTGGACAGGATAATTATTTATTTTCATTCTTTATCAATTTCAGTCCCAAATATATAAACAATGAATCAGTACTATATGGCCAATAAAAATAAATATATGAACTTTACTAATACCTAGAAAGAATAGGAAAAAGTAAAGAACACAAAAAATGGTATCAACTCAAACCAAGTCAAGTCATCTGATGGATATGTGTACTTCCAAGCATAATTTGGAGAAAAAGAGGCATGATAAGAAGAGCTGGTTGTCAAAAAAATAAAAAGGATTTTTCTTTTTTGGTATAGCTATTTAAATGTGCCCAAAAAATTTACTTAAAAAGGCCCAAACTACAGAATTCCCTAAGTATAGAAGGCATCTGAAAGCTGTGAACAAGGGTCAAGGAAATATCTTTAGAACTTTATGCAGATATATGCAGTTTTTATAAAAAATGAAAAAGTCTCAAGATTCACTTGAAAATATAATAAAATAGAAGAGCAGAAAAGTGCTATTTAGAATATAGATAGTCCTTTTCTTTTTTTCTTTAATATTTTAAAAATTTATTTACTTACCTGCACCAGGTCTAGTTGCAGCATGCAAACTCTAGTTGTGGCATGTGGGATCTAGTGCCCTGACCAGGGACTGAATCCAGGCCCCTTGCATTGGGAGCTTGGAGTCTGAGCCACTGCACCGCCAGAGAAGTTCCCAGACAGTCCTTGTCCGCACCATCGGTTCCTTAGGAACTCTGAACGCTTAACACAAAAGGTCAGCAATGTCTCTAAATGACGAAACAGTAACTTCTGGTTAGAAGAAGCAGGCTAGGAAAACTGATCCCTGAGAGAATGAAAACCCCATTTTCTCTGGCAGCTTTTTTGGCACAAAAATTGGAAATTCTTGAAATATTGGCTATCTCAGTATTTTGTTACACTTTGCTGCAGTACGAGAAAAAAATTTTCCTCTCATCTACATAGCTTTATGAATTACAGGACTATTTTGAAAGCTCTGTAGCATTTCTAAATTCTAACCAAATGTCCTCTTATATAACAAAAACTATTTTCTGGACCCCCGCATGGTCCCTAGAAGTGCTCTTAGCATTCCAATCACCTGAGTTAGAAAATCAGTACTAAAAGTAAGGTGGACTTTCCATCACCCCCCCTTCCTAAAACCTGGCTCTTCCAGCTACATTTACTTGTATAGCATCGGTGAAGAAATAAACTCTGTGGCCGGACAGCCTTGGCTGACCCCCACCATCCCTCCACTGCATGCCCAGTTCTGGGTAGCCATCTGGTGAGTTCATCCTACAACTTCCGGTGGAACCTGGGAGGAGCGGCCACCTCTCCCACTGTGACTGCCACTGCAAGGAGAGTAAGCCTGAAGCTGGAGAGGCTTACCATGGGGAGAGAGCCTGACAGTGAAGCCAAAACAAAGGGAAACACTGTTGAGAAATGGAGAAAACGGATGTCCAGGAGACTTGATCCAGTTAAGTCTGAAGCTGGCAAGGCCTGTAGCTTTTTTCATGCCCTGAGCCAATGGGTGTGCAACTACACTACCCCACCAATCTGTTTCCTTTGAACCTTTTTGAGCAGATTTTGTCCACGGAATGGAAAGAGTCCTGTATCAGTTAAGATGTTTTCCTCTGCAAGTGGAAGAAGACCTGACTAACAATGGCTTAAACAATAGATGTTTATTATCTCATATAACGGCAGCTCTGAGACAGGTGGTTTCAGGGCTATCAACTCAACAGAACAACAGTGCAGTCGAGAATCTGAGTTTTCCATCCGTCCCCTTGGCAGGCCCTAGCATTCTGGCTTTGTCTTTGAGCCATGATGATTGCAAGATGGCTGCCAGTGCTCCAGACATATCTTCATACAACAGTATCGAAGGAAGGAGAAATCTCTTTTTACCAGAAAGAAAAAAGTTTTCCAAAACTCATCACCCTGGCCTATTTCCCTTTGATCTCCTTGGCCAGAACTTGGTCTCACACTGTCCGCTGCCTCCACCCCTCTCAGAGAATCACTGGTAAAAGATAATGCAATTTTCATGATGGCAAAGCCCAATCTTGACTTGGAGGGCCCTACCTTCCTTAAGTGCACTGTGGCAAGACACTAGCTTCAAAACGAGGATTCTGTTTTCATGGAAGGGGGAAATGGCTTTGGGGAGGCACCTAACAATACCTCCTATAAGTCCTCATGCAAGCACTGGTGTCCAATGGCCCGCCATCACTGAGACATTCAAAAGACAGTGCAGGACCTGGCGTTCCAGACCAAACTAGAAGGACCGCCGCTTTAAGTTTCCATGCGCCCCATACCTGAGCACATAGCAGCTGCAGCTCTTATTCCTAAGAGACTATGTAAACTGACCACAAAACTGTAACTTCCTTCAGTGGTTTTTTTTTTTTCCTTCAGTGGTTTTTTTAAGTCTTTACTGGATGCCCAAGAATAACAGGTATTAGCTAAACAGGTTATTTTCAATGTGCCCAGTATCAGGAAAGGAATGTCAATGAATGATCTTCCTCTTCTTAGAGCTCTAAGGCTCTTGTTAGCTAAGTTTGTTAGAATCTGCCAGGAGGTGCATATCAAGAGCCTATTCAATAGAGAACAGGAACTCTTTGAGTAAAACTGATTTCTAACTCTTTACTGAAGATCAAAACTTTCTAGTGGTACTTCTTCCTTAAAATATGACATCACCTGGGGCTATGGGGCTTAAAGGAGATGACACTGTGAAAGCTCACAGCCCAGAACCTGGCACTGAAGGTACCATGAAGTCCAGGGAAGATAAAGCAAGGGCTGAACCAGAGTTGTAGGAGTGCTGGTGGGGGAAGAATGGACCGAGTCTGATCATTCATTTATTTATTTAAAGATATTTTTGATGTGGACCATTTTCAAAGTCTTTATTGAATTTGTTACAATACTGCTTCTATTTTGTTTTGGTTTTTTGGCCTCAAGGCATGTGGGCTCCTTAGCTCCCTGAGGAGGGAACAAACTCACATCCCTTGCACTGGAAGGCAAATCTTAACCACTGGACCATCAGGGAGTCCTTGATCATTCATTTCTAAAGTTAACCTATGCTGTGCTACACTTAGTTGCTCAGTTGTGTCCAACTCTTTGCAAACCCATGGGCTGTAGCCCGCCAGGCTCCTCTGTCCATGGGGATTCTCCAGGCAAGAATACTGGAGTGGGTCACCATGCCCTCCTCCAGGGGATCTTCCCAACCCAGGGATTGAACCCAGGTCTCCCGCACTGCAGGTGGATTCTAAACCAGATTTAAGGCAAGGAAAACTAACTTATAAAGCACTAAAGGTTATAACGCAATATTAAATATCAGTAGGCAAGTGGAAATCAGTGAAAGTAACGACAATGTAGTAAGCTGACTACTAACCTTTAGCTAACCTTAGTGAAACCCTATTTACTATCCTGTAAGCCTCCCCACCCACATCTTGACTTTAAAACTTCCTGAAGAGTGAGGCCGCTGCTTCCTCCTTCTTAAACACTACAATGAACTTATATGTGAGCTCAACTGTTATTACACTGATTCATACACTCTAAATTGAAGCTAATTACCTTTCAATAAATTGCCACAGGAAACAAAAGAGGGAAACAGAAGTGAGGTAGAAGAGAATGCCCTCTGACGACTTTAGATCTGACTAACGTTAAGCCTTAAAGTGGGGATCTCTGCTGGCTGTAGAATTCAGTGATTCTATGAATTAAGTGTCAATTACTCACCTCAGTGGGGTGACAGCACAGCCTAGCAGTAGGTCTTAGAGTGAACAGTGTGAACGCTCATTTCCAAACCTAACCTAAACCAATGCTGTATTAGGAAAGAATTTCTAAATACACTAAACCAGATCTACAAGGCAAAGAAAACTTATAAAGCAAATACAACTGTGTGTGCATGTATATTCAGTTGCTCAGTCATGTCCACCTCTTTGTGACCCCATGGCCTGTAACCCACCAGGCTCCTCTGTCCATGGAATTTCCCAGGCAAGAATACTTGGGTGGGTTGCCATTTCCTACTCCAGGGGATCTTCCCAATCCAGGGGTTGAACCCGTGTCTCTTGCATCTGGTGCATTGACAGGCGGATTCTTTACCACTGTGCCAACTAGGAAGCCTGTCATGCAGAACTGTATATATAAAATTAACTTATAAAGCAATGGTGATAAGACACAGATATCAGCAGTAGGCCACTGGAAACTATAACTAAGTAATCACAATATAATAATCTGAAGAAAGTCTTGGATGTGCCCTGAGGGTGGTTCCAGAATTAGAAAGGGCTCTTAAGCATATAGTGGGGCTTCCATGTGACTTTTAGGAGGTCATCACCACTCTCTGAGCCCCCAGTGTATTCATCTGTAAAATGGGATCATAACACCCTCATGGCAGCTGGCAGAGAAGATGAAAGGGGCTCGGTAAGTACACGGCGCCTCGTGTGCTTGGGAGCACTCGGGAAGCGCTCAAACAACGGTACCATTACTGCTTTAAGCGCAGGATCGCCATTAAGCACTTACCTAATGAGACCACAGCAACGCTCTCTGGCAAGAAATGTAATCTGTATCGGATCAGTAAATGCACCAATATGATGCAGATAGCTGTGGGAAAAATTAAGACACTGTTAAAACAACCCAACTTTGAATAGAAACACCAAGCCAAAAGCAGCAGTTATTTCTGGGAGGCCGCCCGGGAAATGGACAACTGGCAGTGACACAGGAAACTTCAGCTCTATTTCCAATTTCTTATTTCTGAATCTGGAGGTAGTTCGTTACATTTTACACGTTTCTTTACATGCTTGAACTAGCTGCTGCTTTCCAGTTGTTGAAAGAGCAATAGACACCTATCTTTCTTCTGAATGGTTAAATCTCATACAAACACTTAAAATTATTCAAATTTCTCTGATTCTGAGAAATGATCCTCAACAGTGAGGAAGAAGTCAAAGAAATCAATCACTTTTATGCAAACACAGCTGCAACAGACTATATGTTAACAGGAAGTATTTTGTTGCCATGTGATCCATGCTCTTTCAACATAGAAGGAAGTCAGAGTGTTTTACAAACAGGACAAAGTTAATCCTAACCTGGTGAGAAGAACATACAGACTGAGAGGTGGGGTGTCTGCTCCCCAGGTGGGCACTGGGGCTTCTACCGGTTGAGGGCTTGCCACGAACCAGGGACGGCACTGAGCACTTTCCAAATGCTCTCTCAGCTGACTGTCAACACCCCCTCTGAATGAGCTGTCATCACCTCTGCCTCCTTCGATTAAAGATAAGAAAGCTGAGGCTGAGTGAGGTTACACCACCAGTGGGTGCCACCGGCCTGAGCTTGATTCCAACCCTGTTCCCTTAATCCCTGGCACCTGCCACCCCCTCCTGGCAGCCTTCATCCTCAACCAGGAAAATAAGAATAATGTCTGATTTTCCTCACAGGGGTGTTGTCATGAAAGGGAAGAACCAAAAAGATGTAAAACTGTTTGAAAAGAATAGGTATTTCAGACCAAAAAAAGCACAGGTTCACATAAATAACTCCTAAATGTAATTTCAAGACCCAAGTGTTAGTGTGCATGTCTTTTTCTTTTACTAGGCACCTGGGTGGTATGCCATCTCATCAATCAGAGTATTATATATATAGTATTAAAAATAAATGAGTTGCCTTTTTTTGTAAAAGGAAATGTTCAAACAATCTGCATGACTGTGAACGGTCCACCCTCAGAGCCACAATCTGCATGACTGTGAACGGTCCACCCTCAGAGCCCACGTTGACAAATTAGATTATCTTTAGTCCCACCAAAAAGCACCAGGTGGCCAGAGAAAGGAAACAGTTGTAAATATGGAAATTTTGTCCTCGTTTCATTCTGTGCTTTAAACTATCAATCTGTGGTGTTATTTTATTATAAATATTTAGCCTAGTTAGAAAAGTCCTATGCTAAATACTAAGAGCAAGAAAAAAGTTCCAATGCATAAGCTCAACATGGAACCAACGAGAATGCCTACTGTATAAAAAGGTAGACACACAAGCACATAAGTAGACAGAAATATATAGATCTAAGGAGTTGAATCAGTTTCTTTTCTTTCTCTGCACCAAGCTGGATGACAAAATTTAAAAGCTTCTCATAAATCATTTAACCCTCTGAAGCTAAAGAGGAAAAGAGGGACTCCCTTGGTAGTCCAATGACTGAGACTGTGCACACACAGCGCAGGGGGCCCGGGCTCCATCCCCGGTCGGTCGGGGACTGCGGTCCTGCAGCATGCTGCAACTACGACCTGGTGCAGCGCCCCCACCCCAAAAACAAGAGCAAAAGAAGAGCTGGCTATCACCAGAGAGAGCTACACATAAGGACAAGCAATGCCACAGAATGGTCTCCAGCGATAAACAGGAGAGCCGCAAAGACAACCCACAGAATGACAGGAAATATTTGTTGGTCATATATCTGATAAAGGTCTAGTGTCCACCATACATGAAGAACCCTTACGACTCAACAACAAAAAGACAATACAATTTTAAAATGGGCAGAAGACTTAAATAGTCAGTTCTCTAAAGAAGATATGCAAATGGTCAATAAACACATGAAAAAGTACTCATCCTCATTCATCAGTGGAAAAATGCAAATCACAACCACAAAGCGATACAACTTGACAGCCTAGGATGCTAACAAGGATGGAAAGCAACTGAAACCCTTGTGCACTGCTGGTGGGAATGTAAAGCTGTGCAGTGACTGTGGAAAAGTTCAGCAGTTTCTGAGAAAGTTCCTCACAGAGTAACCACTTAACCCAGCAATTCCATTCCTAAGTACATAAATCCAAGAGAAATGGGTTTTTATAGGCCCACATAAAAACTTGGACAAAAATGTTCATAGCAGCACTATTCACAACAGCCAAAAGGTGGAAACAATCCAAATGCCCATCAGTTGATGAATGGATAAACATGTGGACTATTATTCAGTCCTAGAAAAGAAGGGAATTCTGACGAATGCCACACACAGATGAATCCTGAAGACATTATGTTGAGTGAAAGAAGCCAGACCTAAAAGGCCACATATTGTATGGTCCCGTTTGTATGAAATACCCTCAGTAGGCAAATTCCTAGAGACAGCAGAACAGTATTTACAAGAGACGGGGGGTAGGGAGAATGCGGAGTGGCTGCTTTTAACAGGAACTAGGTTCCCTTCAGGGGTGATGGAAATGTTCTAGAACTAGATCATGGTGATGGTTGCCCGGATTCAAATACATTGCTGTGAATGTTATAAATGCCACTAAATTATACACTTCAAAATGGTAAATTTCATGATTATTCTACCACACACACAGATTTTTTCTTACAAACAAACAAACAAACAAGCAAAAAAAGGCACATGCAGAAAGCACTAACACGGGAAGATCTCCGAGCCATTCTGTGAGAGGAAACGCCGGGCTACAGGCCCCTCTCACAGTAACCAAACTCCAACAGTTTGTGCCTATTTGTTACGAATGTACATGTGTACCGGAGAAGGCAGTGGCACCCACTCCAGTGCTCTTGCCTGGAGAATCCCATGGACGTAGGCGCCTGGTAGGCCGCAGTCCATGGGGTCGCTAAGAGTCGGACACGACTGAGCGACTTCACTTTCCCTTTTCACTTTCATGCGCTGGAGAAGGCAATGGCAACCCACTCCAGTGTTCTTGCCTGGAGAATCCCAGGGACGGGGGAGCCTGGTGGGCTTCCGTCTATGGGGTCGCTACGCGTCAGACACAACTGAAGTGACTTAGCAGCAGCAGTACATATGTACATATACACATACAAGCACACATTTTCAAGTACACTTGAGAAAATACAGAGCAAGGAGGGACAAAACCTTCTGTGTGATATGGATGGTATGAGCACCACAAGTTAATGTATTTCCAATTTTTCACGCCTGAAGTTTTAATTACGGAAAATACACTGAAACATAAGACAAGTCAATTTTAACAACTCCATTAAATTTTACGGCCCATAAAATGTGTCAAATGATGCTAATAGTTAACTCCAGTGCAAATCAGTAACAATGACTCACCACTGTCACTGGAGTCAAAGATTAGCAAAGGACAAGTGTAGGTCAGCTGATCTCAAACTTCTTAAAGTCAAAATTACAATTCTGGCATCCTCTGCACACAAAAGTCACAATCTCATTTGACTTGATTAAAATAGTAAACAAAAGTGGTAAATCTGTTCCAGATTAGGAACTCCTGAAGTCTAGAATAACTTACGGACTATTTCCCTCAGTTCACTAGTCTATATATTAAGTGATCTGGCAAGTTATCTATTAATAGCCATTTTTTTCCTTATCATTCCATTCTGCTAACACATGCTAACCTACACGTGCAAACTGGAGACGCCAACTCATCAACTGATCAGGGGAAACAGAGACCACCTGACCTGCGTCAGAGGCTTCTGATGGGTTTGCAGAGAAGACAGGAGAAGGCAGTGGCACCCCCTCCAGTGCTCTTGCCTGGAGAATCCCATGGACAGAGGAGCCTGGTGGGCTGCAGTCCATGGGGTCGCTAAGAGTCAGACATGACTGAGCGACTTCACGTTCACTTTTCACTTTCATGCACTCGAGAAGGAAATGGCAGCCCACTCCAGTGCTCTTGCCTAGAAAGTCCCAGGGACGGGAGCCTGGTGCACTGCCATCTACGGGGTTACACAGACCTGGACACAACTGACGTGACTTAGCAGCAGCAGAGAAGACAATCCAAGAGAAATACGCAGCACTACTAACTACAGCTCAGCCCTTTTTGGCCTCAAAGATGTACAAACAGCATTTTATCTGGATTAAAAAGCACATCATAAAAACCTGTTTTGTGATCTCTGGCACAAGTTAATCCGAGATGTTCCACATCCTGAAAGTTACTATGAAAGTCTTATTTCTCACCATCTTGTGAAAAAGGTGATTACAAAACAGAAGTTTTCTTCCAAGGCTTGCCTTTTATATCCCCTAACATATCATGCTGACAACAGTGTAAACAGACTAACAACACTCCTTCAGGATTAAGGATTCAGGTACTAAAGACTTCTTGGTCAAGAAAACAACGGCTTTTCTTCTTAGTATTCAAGTACTATAACAAAAAGGGGAAAAAAGAAAACAAGAGTCCTTGATTGTTGAATTAATCCCTGAGAAGTAAAATTACATTGACGGAGTAAAAAATTACTTGGGCATATCCAATCTAAATGGACACTGTACACTTGTGGTTTGTGTACTTTTTTGGAAAAAAGCTTTTTTAAAACTATTTGGGAATTCCCTGGTGATCCAGTGGAGAAGACTGTGGTGATGCCGAGGGCTTGGATTTGATCTTTGGTCAGGAATTAAGATCCCACAAACCATGCTGCATGGCAAAAAAAAAAAAGTTTTAAAAAACCTATAAAAGGATGAGTTCTGAGATTTTAAATTATTATCTTAGTAAAATTATTTAACAATCTAAATATAAATGTGAAAGAAGTTACACTTTTCTGCAAAAAAATAAACCAAAAACAGTCCTAATAGCCATCAGAGAAATACTCTGGACTCTTACATTTTTTGTACATTCTGTTCTTCTGAAAAGATCTAATTAGAAATATGACTCAATATAATTAAAGAGGAACAGAAAATGTAAACCTGCCAACTTCACTTTATAAACAAGTTTGGAGAGTCCTATTTGAAGTTCTTTCTTTCTTAGCTGATCCAAAGTGGTTGTGCAGTTTCAACTGGGTTTTCTGGTCTAAGACACTTGTCTACTGTCCATAGTGTCTGCGAAGCAGCTAAGAAATTGCCTTTTATCTAAACTTCCTGACCGATGTCTGGCTACCTGAATATTAGCCTCTAGTCTCCCCTAAAACAGATCTGTCAATTAATTTAAACTCTCTGGGCCTAAATTTCTTCACCAGTGAAATAAGAAGGTTGAATAAAATGAGATCTTAAGTCTGAGAGAGTGAATCTCTTTAAAGAAAAATATCACATGAGTGAACAGAGGCACAGGTAGTACACAGACATGGCAAAAGCCATGACCACAGTCAACAGGAATGACAGAGGTTAAAGAAAACAGTGTGTTAGCACAAGGGTGTCTGATCTTTTACTCACAGCAAAACTCTTAACTAAGTGAAATTTTGCACGGAAGCCGAACGGGCACAGGAGACAAAATGAGGCTCTGGTCAGAAAGTCATGCTCTGCCGTTTGACCCCCGACCCCCACCCACAACGTCATACAGACACACACGGAGACTCATGAACAGAATCTGAAATACAGTGATGTTCAAGGTTCTTTCCAGATCAAGAATTCTTTAAGTCTTTCTTTAAAAGGACATCTAAGATAAAGATGTTCTTCAGAATGACTAAGCTCAATGATTTTATAAAGAAAAAGGACGATGGGATGAAACAGTTAGGGCATCATGAACTGATCAGTGACCCTCCGTGTAATGAAGTGAAAGTCAAATGAGAGGCAGACTTGACAAAGTCAACAGAAGCTGACCCGGGGTTAATCATTCAGACAGCACACACGGATGCTCAAAACGCCAGGGGACGGTGTTTCCGAGAACACTGGCCGAGGACCTGCACTCACCGAGGACGAGGAGGCTGAAGAAAATGGTCATGCCGCTCGACTGCTCTTCCTGCTGAGCTTGCTCCCCTGTCTGCACCGGGAGGATGGGCTTGGCAGGGGTCGGGAGCACCAGTTTCGCAGTGACCACCAGGGTGGTATGAAGGGTGACATTGAAACCTTCATGAGTTGTGTTGGGGAACCTGTTGGAGAACATAAAAAACAGCAGAATTAGACAAAGGAAAGAGGACCCGGAGTTATCAACACACACACACCAGAAAGAGAACCTTGGCATAGAGCTCTATGGCATTCACAAGTCTTACAACCAAGAGGCAAGCCTTGGAGAGAAACTGGTTAGGAAAATTCCTGCCTGCTGCTGCACGAGGGTACGGCTGGCCTCAGGAGCACTGAACACAACCACTTAGAGGTCAGGGCCAAGGGGGAGTCAGGGCGAGTGCAGAACCAAACGCTGCCTGCTCTTTGGCACTCAATGGGGGATTTAAGGACTGAGCACAGCACGAACAGAGACAAACTGGAGTCTCATCACATTCCAAGTTCCAACATCAGTTACTAAGTGCCTTTACTTCTCTAGCTTACATTCTTTCCCTTAGATTGAATGTGCAAGTTGAAGAAGCCACTGATTTTACTCAATTGTTGATTAGGTCTGAATGCCCTACCCTACTTTACAAAAACCTGAGTTCAATGGCCCAAAAGTAATCCCCTCTGTAATACCCCACTCCGCCCTACTACTGTGCTCCTCACAGCTATCTCCTCACACTGTGTTGGGATTGTACACTAGTGATATTGACATAATAACCATTGTAGCTGTGATTGTAACAACTGATGTTTTTGAGTACAGCTTCACTCTGGGGACTAGGTAACATACAAACTTGCATTTAACAAGTGTCAACAAGCCTGAGGTGGACACTGCTACTTTCTCTTTTTTTAACCTGTGAATAACAGGCTGAGAGAGACTGTTGGCTTAACTTGGCCAGTATCTCAGTCAGTCAGTGGCAGAATCAAGCCAAATTTGAGTCCAAACATGAAATCACTGAGCCGTACCACCTCTCTTGCTTTGTGCTGCTGAGGCCCAGTTTGGTGTCTGACAGTGAACATGCTCAGTAAGTAAGCTAACTAAATTAAACGACCACTAGGCTAAAAGACAGACAGAAAAGTTGTCAGGCGAGGGAGTCAAATTTCAACTGTTGGCTTGGTTCCTTGTTAATTTTTATACACTCCTTCCACGGAGATGGGCATCTATAACATGCAACAGACTGTGCCGGGCAGGTATGCAGAAAAGACTAAAAGAGTGGTCCTTCCCCAGAGGCAACTGAAGGACAGAGACACCTCACTCCCTTTATCTTACACAGCCAGCTCCCTTGCTCTCTACACTCCAGCCTTCCTTTTCTTCTGTCCCTCAAAAGGCACTAAGCTCTTTCTTGCACCTGTCTTCCCTCTCCTATTCCTCCTTTTGGTCGCTAAGGTTTCATCCGGCATATCACCTGTTCCTGAGAAGCCTCCTCCACCCCAATACCATTCCGCTTCCTTCAGAGCACTGAAATCATCTTGTCTATTTATGGTCTTCTTTTTCCACTAGAATGAAAGCTCCTTGAGAGGAGCTCCTGGTCGGTCTCCTTCTCTACCATGTGACCAGGGCCTGATCGAGAGTAGACGGCCACCAGTTTAATGAATAAATGGATTTCATTGAAGGAAACGAGAAGAAAAAATGATCGTTACAACGGAGGAGGGGACTGGCTACGTAAGGGGGAGGGGGGGACTTTCTGGAGGCGGCGGAGCGCTGCGTAATCAGCAGATGACCGAAAAATGGGAAAGTGAAATCTGGGGTGCGGTTTCCGCAAGGCAGCTTCCGAGATCTACGATGAACGGCCGATACCTAGCCAAAGGGTCCAACCTCAAAGGGGCTGCGCGGCCCAGGCCCGCCCCTCCCCCTGCTCGCAGGCTCCAGCATGGTCAGTCCCGGCCAACCAGCGCGAGGAGCTCCGCCTTCTGGAGCCGGAGGGCGGCCTGAAGGGCTCGCTGTCACCCGACGGGGCCCAGCCCTGCCGCCACAGCCGCCCAGGAAAAGCCCACTCACTCCTCCTCCGCCATCTTCTCCCCAATCCCGCGGAGCCTCCGAGACCACCGAGCGCGGGGCTAGCAGGGCCCGCTTTTGCTTCCGGCTTCCGCTGGAGGCGCGGGCGGGCCGACCGGCAGGGGGGCGGAGTCTCGGCTGCACAAGGCCGGCATTTCTGTCCCTTCGTCTCTATGGCCGGAGGGTGGGAGGATTCGCGTGGGAGGACCCCGGGGAACTTTCAGGATGAGTGGCGGCACTTCTTTTGGCCCCTCTGGCCCTGCGAAGTTCTGGCTGTTCCCTTCCACAGGGTTGGGACGTTTTGGGGAAACTCCTGTGAGGTGACTGTGACTCATCCTGAAACCGCACGCTTTCCTCCCCGGTGTCCAGGAATTGACTGTAGTTAAAGTGGGACGGAAGCTTCTAGAGTAAGCTGGGCAGAGGGACCCCAGGGGTATACTCCCCCAGTCTCAGTTTTCCCCAGCCCGAAAGGGGACTAGCCACCTGGGTTTTGCAGAATTGTGCAGTATTCTATCTGTAAACATTTATTGAGTTCTGACTGTATGCCTGTCTTTAAAATAGAAGATGATGATCTAAGAATGGATCCATCATTCATTTGTTCATTGTCTCAACAGATAATCAAACGCCTATAAGTGGTTTCAGGTGGCTCAGTAATAAAGAATCCGCCTGCCAATGCAGGAGACACAAGAGACACCGGTTTGATCCCTGGGTGGGGAATATCACCTGGAGGAGGAAAGGGCAATATTCTTGCCTGGAGGATCCCATGGACAGAGGAGTCTGGTGAGCTACAGTCTACGAGGGTCGCAAAGGGTCAGACAGGACTGAGCAGGCAGGCACGTGGTTAGTGTCGTGGTCTGTGTGGGTTGGAAAAGAATTTTCAGACACCAGGCAGAATGAAAGGAGAATAAAGTTTATTTCCAGTGCCCCCCTTGGTTTTTTTCTTCTTTTTTTCCCTGTTCTTTTGTCCTTGGGAAACCACAGTTAGCAGTGATCTGTGGGGTTGGGGAAACAGGAAAGAACAAAGTGAAGTTGAAGGGGTAGGAAGGCCCGCACCCGAAGAGCTGGCACCCTCTTGTAAGGCTTTTGGCTTTGATGCCAGCTCTGCAGCCCCTTCCCTTCCTGGTTTAAACCATCGTAGTCAGCAGCTGTGATAGGTGTTTAAACCCTTTTTCTGACTCTGCTGTTCTTCCTTAAGCTTTTCCCACAGCGGAGGGCCTAAACATACACAACAGAGGCCCCAGTGAACCTTTTAAACTTCAGTCACTCCCCTGCTCAAAAGGTACCCTGTCTTCCAGACTCAATCAGTGGAGACGCTCCAGGACCCAACCCGCCCCCTCTGCCTTGTGAGGTCAGTCCCCGCCCCTCATACTGCACACTTTCCGCTGTGGTCACAGTGACTTCCTTGGGGGTACCCGAAACACACCAGCATCACTTCTGCCTCTGCACTGGCCAAGCCCTTGGTCAAGAATCCTCTGGGACTTCCCTGGTGGCCCAGTGGCTAAGACTCTGTGCTCTCAATGCAGGCGGCTGGGGTTCCAGCCCTGGTGAGGGAACTGCATCCCACATGCTGCAGCTGAGACCTGGTGCAGCCAAAAAAATAAAACCTTTAAAAAAATAATACTCAGCTCCTAGGTTGCTCCTTGACAGCCACCTTTCCCACATTCTGTTTACCCTTTTCTTGTCCAATATGCCTTCCCTGACCAACCTGTCTAAAATCCAAGCACTCTTCCCTTCCCAACGTTCCTTTTCTCCATAACCCTGAACATACTATATATTTTACTTATATATTCATTTATTCTTCTCTCTGTGAGAACTTAAAGTTCTGAATGCCAAAGTTTTGTTCTCTTTTATTTCCAGTGCCTGGAATAGTACCTGGCATAAAGTGGCTACTCAAGAGAAAAATGACCCTTGGACTTCCCTGATGCTTCAGTGGTTATGACTCTGCACTTCCAATGCAGGGGGCGAGAGTTTGATTCCTGGTCAGGGAACTAGGATCCCACATGTATTGGCCTAGCCAAAAGTAATTTAATTTAATTTTAAAATGAACAAATAATCCATTTTGAGTTTATTTTTGTGTATGTCATTAGAGAGTGTTCTAATTTCATTCTCAGAATAGGAGAAAATATTTGCAAGTGAAACAACCAACCAGGGATTAATCTCCAAAATATACAAATGGCTTCTGCAACTTAATATAAAAAAAAAAAGAAAAGCAAAACACATAACCAAATCAAAAAATGGGCAGAAGTTCTTTTACTTTTTTTTTGAGGCGGGCAGAAGTTCTAAAGGAGACGTTGTTGTTCAGTCTATTTGTCATGTCTGCTGACTCTGTAACCTAATGGACTGCAGCACGCCAGGCTTCCCTGTCCTTCACCATCTCCCAGAGTTTGCTCGACCTCATGTCCATTGAGTCGGTGATGCCATCCAACCACTTCATCCTCTGTCGCCCCCTTTTCCTGCTTCAGTCTTTCCCAACATAAGGGTCTTTTCCAAAGATTCGGTTCTTCGCATCAGGTGGCCAAAGCATTGGAGCTTCAGCTTCAGCATCAGTCCTTCTAATGAATATTCAGGACATAAAGATGGCCAAAAGAAAACATAAGGATGACCAAAAAGTGCATGTTCAACATCATTAAAGATTAGAGAAAAGCAAATAAAAACTACAGTGAGGTGTTACCATGTGCTGTCAAAATGGCCATCATCAAAAAATCTACAAACAATAAATGTTGGAGACAGTGCGGAGAAAATGGAACCCTCCCACTCTCTTCATGGGAATGTAAATTGGTACACCCACTATACTAAAAATAGAACTACTGTATGACCCAGCAATTCCTGGTCATATACCCAGAGAAAACCACAGTTCAAAAAAGATACACGCACCCCAGTGTTCACTATAGCGCTATTTACAATAACCAGGACACAGAAACAAACTAAATGTCCATCAATGGAGAAATGGATAAAGAAGACATGGCACATATATATATATATACAATGGAATATTCAGTTCAGTTCAGTCGCTCAGTTGTGTCCGATTCTTTGCGACCTCATAGACAGCAGCACACAAGGCCTTCCTGCCCATCACTGACTCCCAGAGTTTACTCAAACTCATGTCCATTGAGTCAGTGATGCCTTCCAACCATCTCATCCTCTGTTGTCCCCTTTGTTATGCCCGATGTCCGAATCCCCGAGCGGGAAGAGAGAAGGCTTCCAAGACAATGCAACTCGCAAAAATGGGAAGTTTATTGCTGACTCGAGTCAGGGCTCCCGCCGCGCATCCAACACAGTGGTACGGGGTCAGAGAGCGCTGAGCTCAAGCTGTTACCCAATTTATAAGGTGTGCATAAGCAGTTGGTAGCTGGCTTAAGCAGATTGGTTACATGTTTGCAAAGTAATCTTATTGGCCCAAACCTTCACGGGCTTTTTTCAAACTTGGGCGTTTGCGGGCTTTTCAGCTTTCCCGATAGGTTCCCTTTTTCTTGCTAGGCGCGTGTTGATTGGCTGGCTCCAGGTTACCTGATGGGGGCGGGGAATCCCACCATTTCAGGGGAAACCGAAACCCAGGTCCGGGCCGCCTGCCAGCCCCCGCAGCCCCACACCCTTCTCCTCCGGCCTTCAGTCTTTCTGAGCCTCAGGCTTACTCAGCCATAAAAGAACAAAATGATGCCATTTGCAGCAACACAGATTGTCATAGTGAGTGAAGTCAGACACAGAAAACCAAATATAATATCACTTCTATGTGGAATCTTAAAAAAAGATGCAAATGAAGTTATTTACAAAACAGAAGTAGAGTCACAGGTGATGAAAACAAATTTATGGTTACCAGAGGATAAGTAGGGGAGGGATAAATCAGGAGATTGGAATTGACATATATACACAACTATTTGTAAAATAGATAACTAGTAAGAACTAGCTGTATAGCGTAGATATTCTATAACAGCCTGTAGAGGAAAAGAATCTTAAAAAAAGAGTGGAGGGACTTTCCTAGTAGTCTAGTGGTTAAGAATCCGCCCTGCAGTACAGAGGACGCAGGTTCAATCCCTGGTTGGAGAAGTAACAGTCCACATGCCTCAGAGCAACTAAGCCCACACGGCAACTACTGAGCCCGACACAGCCAAATAAATAAATAATCTGAAAAAAAGAGTGGATACATGTATATGTAGAATTGATTCACTTTGCTGTACATCTGAAACTCGCACAACACTGTAAATCAACTATACTCCAAAAATAAAGTCTGTTAACTCCAGAAGTGTTAGGAAACAGGAGGGATTTGGAAAGAGGAGTGCTGTGGAGAGTCGGGGGGGGCAGGGGCGGGGAAGGATGGAAGATCTCAACCAGGAGGCCTTTGCAATAACCTGGGCGAGAGCTGATGGCGCTTTGAACTAAGGTGATACCATGGGTATGGCAGGAATGATTGGGCTGTGGGTGGGTGTTGAAGGCAGAATTTGTGGATAGAATTCGGAGAAAGAAAGGAGTGAAGAATGATGTCAAGTTTTTGGCCCTTGAACTGGGTGGAGAAAAGATCTATCTACCTGGCTTAAATTCTCTGCCAAGAGGATTTAAGCTCCTTTGACGCTTGTTGTCCAAGCTCACTGAGAGAATGGGCTCAAGATCAGCCGATGTTTGCTGTCCTTCCTGTGGGTGTGGTGCTGGGCTATCGTTTCCTCAATTCCTTACATTTCTTTCAGGCAGGTATTACCATTAAAGCACAGAGACATCAAGCTACTTGCCTAAAGTCACACAGCTGGCAAATACTGAGCTGGGATTCAGGTCAGTTCAGTTCATTTCAGCTGCTCAGTCGTGTGAGCCCACGGGCTGCCGCGCGCCAGGCTTCCCCGTCCATCACCCACTCCCAGAACCTGCTCAACTTCATGTCCATTGAGTCAGTGAGCTCTCTGAGTCACATTTATTAGCCGAGAGCTCAAGGCTGTCTCTTTTCTTCTCGCCCCAGAAAACCCCACCTGGCTGGAGTTGGGCTCCCAAGGGCTGGAGGTAGCCTCTTTTGCACCAGACTGCAGGCTGTGGG